TTTCTTAATTCTCGCTTCCATTCCCATTTCTTCGTTATATCATTTCAGAAACACCATACCATCAACTGAAGTTCGAAAAAAAAAACTACCCATTTTGTGGATCTCATCCTTCACTGAATTCCTTCTGCAAGGAACTTTTGTGTTCCTGCTATGACAACCGTATGCTATCGATCTACTACACTAGCTAGTTCGCCAAAAGAAAAAAAAATCAACCTAACAAACGGGTTTAGATTCATGTAAATCTAAAACCATAGATTGCTCAAAATGCAATCTACAATTAGTTTGGTTTGCTGCAAAGGAGTTTTTAACGCCGAAAAACCGGTTGATTTAAAAGAAACGCTACCGTTACATATATGGCTAAGCCATTTTGAATAACAACTTACGTCTCGTTACGTAAAAGTCATTTCAACTTTTGCTCAGACAATTCAAAACCTGAACATGCGACACAACGATCCCTTGGCTGATAAGGACCTGGTACCAACAAGTGCCTTTCGCGTTTTCCAAGAAAGCTGCAAAAAGATTCTCAGTAAACAAAAGGTAAGTGTATCAGGTTTAAATTTCTATTTTAATTCGTCTTCCCCGCAAACTGCGAAGAAAGGCATACGATACAAATTCTTGGAAAATTCAGCGAGCAGGTGAAATTGTGAGTAGTGAGTAATACGGTGCACTGTGATCTGTAGTTAGCTAAATTATACGCTGCATTGTACACAATTTCAGCGGCTCACGTCAATATAGCTTACTAATAACAGCATATTTAGTGTTTATTTTGCCCTTGTGACACAAATGCCGGCGATGCAAACTCAACACGAAAAATCCTAACATACATCACGCTTCTGTGATACTACAGCAGTTCCGCAGTAAAGCCAATGCAGTTAATCCCAGTGGGGCCAGCGAGAATCACTGATCAAGAGCGGTTGCCGAGAGATTGAAAGCGTAAATCGTGGCCCTTTCGCTTTGTCCGGTTAATAATCCGTGAGATGTTTCAAAGCACGACATTGTGTTTGTTCACGAAAACAACTTGACTGTTTAGCAGAAGTATATTTTATTTCTTCTATCTATCAATTCCCTTTATTAGGTAGTTTTATAATTACTAAGGTGATAACCTGCTCCATTTTCGCCCTGATGCATATTGCCATGAGCAAATATTCAGCCAGCCATTTACCGTTATCAAATTATGATATTTTATGGTGCCTGTGGTGATCCACCCAAACTATCCCAGGAATAGTTGCGCCGAAAGCGGGCCAAAAGCTTGTACCCATTCCCTTTACTGATAGTGGAGTGGAGAATTACTCTTTATGATATAAGAGCCTGGATACTGACATATCGTGATTACTACCGCAGACACCAGTTCTGTCGAAAACGTTTTCAGTTTAGATCGCTGCCGCCTGATACTATGATATTTCACGCTTGAGAAGTGGAGAAAAAACCGGCACATTCGTTAGAATCCAACACTTGGGCCAATCTCAGCGTTAGTTGAATTATATATAACAGCATACAAAAGCTGGCTTCTCATTGAACCCTGAGAAACGTATGCCGCAAAATTAACTCGGAACTGAGAGTGTCAGTCTTCACAGAAGGCTGTTGTGTATTTAAGCGTTACGTAATCCAAAAGTACTTGTGTATGCTTCAGTAAAGCAACAGATAACTCGTTGGATCTTTATCGATAACTTAAGCAATAAGCGGAGTTATATAGGACGCTTGAAATCAATATCTTTTCATATGGGACTTTGCCCAGCTACTGATAATGATCCCAGATACGATTCAAGAACGGTTCAAGTGACTTCAAAACCCGCCGTGCTTTTAAAATGGAACTGACTGAATTGCAGTTAATCCTGAATGTCCTGGGATGTCGAGTGGACTATGCAGTTAATCAAAGTTAAATAACGATTCAGACCCACGCATGTGTGTTTTGTTTAAGAAAGAAAAGTTAAGGCATAAAACTTTTACTTGACTTAATCGTTTTAAGGTCTGGTGTCCTAGGTTGCAGTTATGTTATTCTGGGCATTCAAAGGTCAACCCTGTGTTTCCGAGAAAAAGCGGAAGGGCGTCAGAAAGAGCTAAACTGTTCCATACAGTTAGTTTTCAATTAAGTCGCTTCCTCCTTAAACTTTTATATATTGATATACGCATTATTTCTTATTCAATTGTGGCAAAACCATGATTCGAGAGAAATTCGGACTATATATTTCAGATCATTAAAAGAACAGCTGCTGCTTTAAGTAATGCTAAAGACGGATCATTTTAAAATAGTCGCACCTTTTATCTAATAGCTTTTACTTACATTAAATAATTTATATTTCAAAATCCATAAAGGCTGCTCATCACACGAACGTAGGATTTCTTCACAGACCCAAAATTTCAGGGACTTCGTGTACATAATAGCCTCGGTTAAGCACAGTCTGAAAGTGCTAAATGGATGAACACTAAAATGGCATTTAAGGGGAGGAATGCATGAATAATTAAATGGATTGCATCATCATTTAAATTTTATGTTTTTAAGGCGCACCGATCTTTTATTTCTTAATTCTCGCTTCCATTCCCATTTCTTCGTTATATCATTTCAGAAACACCATACCATCAACTGAAGTTCGAAAAAAAAAACTACCCATTTTGTGGATCTCACCCTCCCCTGAATTCCTTCTGCAAAAAACTCTTGTGTTCCTGCTATGACAACCGTGTGCTATCGATCTACTACACTAGCTAGTTCGCCAAAAAAAAAAACAACCTGACAAACGGGTTTAGATTCGTGTAAATCTAAAACCATAGATTGCTCAAAACGCAATCTATAATTAGTTTGGTTTGCTGCAAAGGAATTTTTTAACGCCGAAAAACCGGTTGATTTAAAAGAAACGCTACCGTTACATATATGGCTAAGCTATTTTGAATAACAACTTACGTCTTGTTACGTAAAAGTCATTTCACCTTTTGCTCAGACAATTCAAAACTGAACATGCGACACAACGATCCCTTGGCTGATAAGGACCTGGTACCAACAAGTGCCTTTCGGGTTTTCCAAGAAAGCTGAAAAAAGATTCTCAGTAAACAAAAGGTAAGTGTATCAGGTTTAAATTTCCATTTTAATTCGTCTTCCCCGCAAACTGCGAAGAAAGGCATACGATACAAATTCTTGGAAAATTCAGCGAGCAGGTGAAATTGTGAGTAGTGAGTAATACGGTGTACTGTGATCTGTAGTTAGCTAAATTATACGCTGCATTGTACACAATTTCAGCGGCTCACGTCAATATAGCTTACTAATAACAGCATATTTAGTGTTTATTTTGCCCTTGTGACACAAATGCCGGCGATGCAAACTCAACACGAAAAATCCTAACATACATCACGCTTCTGTGATACTACAGCAGTTCCGCAGTAAAGCCAATGCAGTTAATCCCAGTGGGGCCAGCGAGAATCACTGATCAAGAGCGGTTGCCGAGAGATTGAAAGCGTAAATCGTGGCCCTTTCGCTTTGTCCGGTTAATAATCCGTGAGATGTTTCAAAGCACGACATTGTGTTTGTTCACGAAAACAACTTGACTGTTTAGCAGAAGTATATTTTATTTCTTCTATCTATCAATTCCCTTTATTAGGTAGTTTTATAATTACTAAGGTGATAACCTGCTCCATTTTCGCCCTGATGCATATTGCCATGAGCAAATATTCAGCCAGCCATTTACCGTTATCAAATTATGATATTTTATGGTGCCTGTGGTGCTATCCTGATAGTACTATATACCGAATAAATTTTGATAAAATCCATTACAATTCGGTCAGATTATAATATCGGCATGTCTAGGCTCAGTCACGAAAGCCGATTAGCCTTAAGTGTATCCAGGTTCACCAAAGTTTTGAACTTTTACTTAGAGACTATTTCTGTTGATCCAAACTGACAATTCAGCAGCTGTCTATGGTAAAGCAAACTCAATCGTGGGCTTCAATTTAATTAGCTTTCCTTGTCGTGAAACTGGACCAAATGGATTAAGATAGGATCAAAACGATACCTGCATTGCTGAGCAGTAAATCAGTAATAATAATACCAATAACAATAATAATAACATTTTTTTTACTTATATAGAGCTATATCAAAACAAAGCCCCAGGTTGGAAACAGGCCAGAAAAAAGTTCAAGGTTTAATTTCAAAAAAAAAAAATAACAGATTAGATAATCGGGATAGTTCCATTAAGTGAAATAGATAACTCTTCGCCGAGGCTTTTATTTGGAGGGGCGATTTAACGGAGGGTTTTTTGCGTTACGAGTTTGGGGGGCTTATATTTGGAGGGGCTTATACATGGAGGGGTTTATCTTCGGAATTTTACGGTATTAGCTCTAGATATATATGGGCGCTAATGAAATTTTCCCAGATAGCACTCAATCGTGATTAAGTCGGCTTGAGTCCTTCGATCACTGAAAGACCGTACGTGATCATTGATAGGAAGACCTAAACCGTAGAGAAAACGGTGGACTATCTCTGTTTGATTATAGCTTTTCTTGAGTCGTATTCTAAGGACAAAAATGCACTTATGGGCCCTTTAACAGCATCTAATAAGTAGGAGACAATAGCGGAGTCCAAATATGCTGCCTCCTGTAGCTAGCATTACCGGACTCTGCCCTTTTTTTCTTGGCTTCCTCTTTTAAGCCGTTTTTCGTTCGGAGCTCCACTATTATAATTATAAGTGGAATAAACAGTATAATACTATAAACAACAGTGGCCAGAGAAAAATGGCTCCTACATTCCGCTGCCTGTTTATTGTTAAAGATCTCTAAGCAAACTATAAACTGCTCACTCACATACATCAAAACTTCGTGTACAGATCGCCTTGTAACCTGCGAACTGTGTTTATTTATTTTCCAGAGCACTGAAATTAAAACTATACAGTTCGCTCTAACTCAGTGGTCAAAGGTTTATACCGTCTTCGTCACTCAAGCCATCACATAACCTAAAATATGTTAGGTACTATTCGTTGCTGTGGGAAGCTTTTAGTAAACTATATCCACATTTAGTTATGGTCGGTCGACAAAACATGGCAAAGACAACGCTTATCAACCGTCTGATCGGGCGATATCTTCTGCCCATGCGACGAAACGAAACAGCCAACACTCTTCAAGCGCGGACTACATACCCCATCATACTGAATCTCCGCAACGGTCCCAAGACAATCGTGGAAGTGCGATGTGATACGTGCCAGGGTATTGGAGGAGAGGTGGAAAACCCCACGGATGATCAAGTGGAGGATTTCCTTAAACAGGTTGCTGGTCATCTTCCCAAAGAAGAAGGAACTCCTATATCCAAGACTCCAGTTAATGTGACCCTTCAAGGTATGATACTGTTCGCATACAGCTGTTTCGAGAAAGGTTGTCGAAAAAAATGTGCACGCGACAATCCCGAAAGGTAATATGGGACATGATCAATACACTGTTCCTGACACTGTAGCTGTGGAGCCTACTTTTGTTGGTTTCCTCTAGCACTCGCAAACACACGTCCTCGGCCTCTCGTGCCATTCTTGCAAATTTCTTTGAAGAACAGTTAACTCAAAACCACCCACAATACCCTTCGAGATTGACGCGTGCACTTTTACCGACAACTTTTTTCGAAATCGCTGTATATCTAGTTCCTTAAGGTCTCAATATACCGCCCGGTCTATAGGTTTCGATTCTAGTGGTGCAGCAGTTCGTCTCGGAAATTCTTTGACCGAACAGGAATGGGAAGACCCTGTATCGGGACGAAGCAAATTCTCTTCGATAATCGAAAGTTGGCTACGTTTACTTGAAATCCGGTGAACCACAGATCTCCTTACTTCAAGTTCCATGATAAGTCCCTAGTTGTCTCCCGCCTTTCTTTTAGCACACTTTGCGGGGACAAAATTTCACGTTTTTCCAGTGATAAGAATGCAAGTTGGCTGAACAGCTTCAAAAAATATTTGTTTTCTTGCTTATTGTTTTAGTTCGACAAAACCAACCCTTATCAGGGGATGAAAAAAAAAGTCTCAGGCACATTGCAATCACGATACAACCAAAGGCCAAGGGACTGACAAATATGTTTGTTTTAACGAGCAAGCTTGTCTTCAGAACGTTTCCCTTAGAAAATATGGGAGGGGCGCTACCTACTCTTTCCTCTTCCTCTCCCTCTCTTCGTCCTTATTTTTTCTCTCTCTCCAACTTCGCACCATGCTCCACTATCTGAACGGCTGGAACAGTCTAGCCAACCCACCAAGCTTGTCAGGAAATCCGTCTAGGACACCTCGAGCAGTTCTAAGCATCCTGCACTCACTTGCATGACGCGAATTGACTCGAGACGAGGGTGACTCACCCCTCTTCTTGTCCTCTGCCTCAGGTCCCAAACTCACCACCTTGACTTTAGTCGATCTTCCCGGCGCTCACTTCGCCAACGACGACCCTCGGATGAACCAGGCAACCCAATCTCTTGTGTTAGACTACATTGAGAAGAACACAAAGAGTATTATCGTTATAGTTTCCGAAGTAGGGGACCCCACAGGAGACAGTGCTATTAACCTGGTAATGCGAAAGGCTAAGGATTTCAGGCAGCGGACCATATGTGTACTGACTAAACCAGACAGGCTGAGAGAATCAGATGACATGGGCGTAAAAGTAGCATTAAACAAGTCAAGTTTCACACTGGAGGACGGTCGCTTTATTGTGTTAAGAGGTACAATAGGAGTTGTTGCTTTAATCTTCTTTGCACATCACCAGGAGCCCATAATCTGCAGAGAGCAACTTTCATCTACTCGTGTTATGGTGTTTTCACCAATCAGTTTATTTTTAGGAATATTTTGGCGCGAATTTAGAATAGCTTTCAAGTGCCACAAACAAGTCAGAAACTATAAAAACCTAAAAGAGGTACTAATGAACTTTTAATGATGTTTAGTTTTCCTCTTTGGTTTGTTGTGATTTGTTTGCACACTTGGGCGAAGCAAAGCTTCCTTTTTTCGCCAAAATAAGTTCTTTTAAATGTACCTAAAAATAAACTGGTCCATGAAAAATGCTGTGACATAGACCTAGTACTGAGGAGTAGCTCGCTCCAGCTTATAGGCTTTTTTCATAACGTTTTAAGTCTGAGTTTCAGGTGCTTCTGAGGGAATAGGAATAGACATGCGAAGAGGGGAGAATCACCTCTCCCATAACCCCAAATGTGGCTCCGATACTCAGGCTATATCGTTTGCAGCGATTTTTATGGTTGAGAACATTCCAAAAGGAAAGAGAAATTAGTAGGAGCCCGAGCTCCTGGTGTTGGACGGTGGTACACAATGTCTTTTCTCTAGATTCAATCAAAATCCTTTTTAAAATTCGGAATAATTAGGGGGTTTTTTTGTATCTTACAAATTATTTGTTTTTTAAGAGTTTTAATTATGAAAGAGGAAAGAACTAAAGCTATTCTCCACTCATTCTGTGAACAAACAGGAAAAGATGGCACAGACGCAAACGAAAAGGACTGGGACGCAGAGATGACCCGTGTCAAGGAAAAGGAGTGGTTCGCGCGTCATCCTCAATACAAAAACACTCTTAAACTGTGTGGAATTGACCGGCTCATGGATACCATGATCTCACTTCTGGCCCAAAAAATGATTACTGAAATTCCAGTCTTAGTTCGTGAAATGAGGGAACGAAAGGCAGAGGTAGGATATGAAAACAATGACGTCTTCCTGTTTATATGGAGGAAGGATGCCCCTGGTAGAAGGATCACCCGCCTACCCTAGCCACCCTAGGCGAGCCAGCTCTTCATGCATTTCCTCCTGAAAACGTGGCGAGCCGTTTACAATCAGAGCATGCGCCAGCGTTGTTTTAAACAATCAACGCATGCGCCAGAAATGTTGACTCGGTCAAAGGGATCATTTTTTTTCTCATAAACGCTCGCTAAAGTTGAATCGGCCGCGGCAGAGAGGGTGGCCCATCTACACGGAAAGGGGCCTAACTTTACCCAACAATCTCAGCGACACATATAAATCAAATTATGTCACCTGTTGAACCCCAGATATCGTGTGTATGGAACTTTTATGCTTTGTTCATAGGGTCGTTGCTTTTCAATTGCGCTATATTTTCAATTTAAGCGATACACCTGTGCACAATACACGCGATAATAAAACATCTCGTTGCCATATCTAGGTGGAATCAGAACTCAAACTTTTGGCCCATAGCGAAGTACCTGAGTCGAGTGAAGGCAAAGGGGCGCTTGTAATGAAACTCAAGCAAACTCTCATCACTCAGCTGAAGACGCTTCTCTTTAACAACACGTCCGACATTGAAGGAGGAGAGCAAGTGCGAACATTGTTCAATAAATTCCACGACACTGTATACAAGGTAGGCGAAAGGATAGTGCCAATTAATTCTTTAATTATTGATTAATTATTGATTTGTTGGGTGTTATTGGGTCGTTTGGTGCTGCCCACAAACCTTATGACCAGCGGTACAACAATGACAAGGGGAAGGGGTACTCCTGAAAGGTGTTTATGTTTTTGATTGGAAAGTCAGAGTGAAACTTTTGTTCTGATATTTCGTTTTGGCCGAAGTGTCTTAACTAATTTTGTCGCCAGCAAGGGAAAATGAAAGGGCGGTGTCAGGAGTTTCGTTTAACTTGCTGCCTTAAGTTTCGAAAGAAAAGTTATATTATTGTTTTTTGAGAGAAACCTTTTTTCAAATCTAGGTAGATCCCCTGGTCAAGCGAAATGATGACGAGATACGAAAACAGCAAAGGAAACTCGAGGGTGTGGCAGCTCCTCTTGGGGACAGCAGTGAAAACAGCCAACTGCTGCAAAAACTGCTTTATGAGTCGTACCAGGGAAGGAGCACTGTGCCAATTGCGAGTAGCCTAGGAGTCCCAGGTATTAGCGTAAACGTGCGGAAAGACACTCCAAAATTAAAGATCGATACCCCTGATAGACGCGACCCAGTAACCGACTATTTGCCCTTGTCGTTCTTATGGTTCAGAAGTTTCAAAAGAAGGAAATGAAAGAAATTTCCATTGCCAATCACCGACAGATATATAGGTGAAAAATTGTAAGTGGTTTGGACCCAAAGAATATAGAAGGGCAATAACCATGAATGGATTCTTGAGACGGGGTGATTTTCATACATGCTTAACAAGAAAATTCAGAAAGAAAGTCCAAAAAAGCGCATAGTAAGAGTTTTGGGGTAGGGAGTGGGACACTGGAAGTCATTTAATCTCAGTACCGCAGTCAAACGTTTGAGGCGTGTTTATAAACTACAAGCGCCTAAGTGAAATTATGTTAGCAAATGGCACCAACAGTAACCTTACAACACCAGTTCCAGTTTTCAATTGCTTTTAACTTTCTCAACAATAATTGAATTAACAATACGCTATTAAACTTTATGTACATTAAAGGTTACAAACCCTGCCTCTGAAGTAGTTTGCGTAGCCCTAAGAACTAAAATAAAAAGAAGTGACTTAAATAGCGCTATCCCCTCGCTTTCATTGAAATACCGCTTTTATAGACCTCAGTTAGTAAATGACACTTTTCTTCTTGTGTTCACAGGAACAAGGTCAAAGTTTATTGATGAACTAGTCCAAAGTCCAGTGGATCAACTAATTCCCATATCTACCCATCTGGTAAACAACGTTGAGAAAACGCTACGCACAATAGTGCAAGATGCAATCAATAAAAGTTTGTCCAGTTTCCCAACTCTCAAGCAAGCGGTCGAGGCCAAGGTGGTGAGCAAGATTTTCGACACAAAGCGAGAGCAGACCATTCAGTTCATTCAGCAGTTTCTCGAGATGCAGAAGAAGAGCATTGATGATGTGTTTGCACCAGTTCCATTTCCGGATGAGCTGAACTCGTGGGAAACCACGCCTGCTTACAATATCAAGACTCGTGACCCATTCCCTCATCCTTGCAACAAGTCGCGGACAACGTCCCACCTGAAAGACCTGGCGAAAAAGCTCTATCCCAAAGAACTGATGGAAGAAATTGAAGGCCATAATTCACGAGGAAGTTATAAGGTTAGCTCAGTAGTTTCAGAACACACATGCATGGAAATTAGGCTGGGAATCTAAACTGGCTTTGTAGTCATTTCATCTTTTGAGAGTGAGCAATACCCCTAAGAGCGACCATTCAAATAAAACCTTAAGTATTTTTACATCGCACTTTCCTTGATTGCATGTGAACTGTTTCAGACTAACTTTTGAATCTGTGGATTAGAAACTATAATTTGACCATTCAGATTTGAAAGAACTACCGCATGCATGGAGCTATTAATTATGCTATATTAACTGGTTCTAACTTTCAAGTCTTTGGTCGTGTGACCATTCAAATTAGACCTCTCAACGAGTTCTTTAATAATAATAATAATAATAATAATAACTGTTTATTCACAAATCCAAATCGGAAAGTGAAAAGGAGATAAAAGAGGTTATCCCTTTCTAGTTTATCTCCTGATAATAAAATACATTAAGAAATAAATTAATTATTTACAACTGTTTAAAATAGTAACTATATATGTATATAAAACATCACATAGTAAAAGAACTTAGTGTTCACTAGGAAAATCTGTAAGGTAACGTCTCAGTCTGTTCTTGAAAATATTCAAATTCTCCGCCTCAGCAACTTCCTTTGGAAGATTGTTCCACTTATCTATTATGCGTATAAAAAATGAATGTTTAAAACTATTTAAAGTTGCTGATGTAAGCTTAAGTTTAAAACGATGGTTGGCTCTTAAGGGCCGAAAATCATGTGCAAATGTGAAAAATGCCGAGGGATCAAGTCCATTAAGTCTATTTATTGTCTTATAACACTCGATAAGCGACGAAAATAATCTTCTTTGTTCAAGTGATGGCCATTTAAGGAGCTTTAGGCGTTCTTCGTAAGGCATGTCTTGCCCAATATTTCCAAGGGCGCATTTAGATGCTCTACGTTGTACTTTCTCCAAGGTGTTTAAGTCTTTTTTAAGGTGCGGACACCAAACTGGAGAGCAGTACTCGAGTATCGGACGTACTAGACTCTTATAAAGTTTTGAAAACAACTGAGGATTTTTAGGACCCACCGTTCGCCTAATGAATCCAAGCACACTATTTGCCTTATTTGCGCATTTGTTAGCTTGCATACTCCATGACAGGTTCGAAGTAATATAGATTCCGAGATCCTTAACTTCAGATACAGCTTTTAATTGGTTACCACATAGATGGTATTGAGGACTTGAGTAATCATTTTTTTTAGAAATGCGCATCGCTTCGCATTTATCTGTGTTAAATTTCAGCTGCCAGACATGGCTCCAAGATTCCAGGCGAATAAGATCTTTCTGTAGCTCTTCAACATCTTCCTTAGTATCCCTGAGTATCCTATACAATTTCATATCATCTGCAAAAAGTTTTGTGCTTGACATAATGTTTCTTGAAATATCATTAATATACTCCTACTTATTTTACAATATTTTACGTGACGAAAGTCAGTGTTTTTCTTAAATTTCTATTTCAGCCACCTAGGAGAGTCAGTAAAGATGAATTAAACAGGTGCATTTAATTTCTTTTCCTCAGGAGCTCGAAGATATAAAGAAGGTAAAAAAGAACGTTGTACGCTGCTTCAACCTGATCAAAATGAACGTCTGCGATACAGTCCCCCGCTGCATTCTTCATTTTTTCATCACTCAGCTGGTGGATGACCTTGAGCACGCCTTGGAAAAAGAAGACTTGGTCGAGTTCTTGAAAGAAAAGCAGGATATCCTGGAAAGGCGTAAAGTGTGTCGTGCCCAGTTCTCCGCTCTGAAGCAAGCGCTGCCTCACACTGACGAAGTGTTAAAGAAATTACTGCGCATGAGGGGCGGATCTGGCGCACGTCAGCAGTTGCAGTTTTAAATGTCAACTCTACAAGACGTAGCGACAAAAGTTATCAATAGAAATATTAAGATTAAATTAGGCTATATATTAAAAAAATAAAGTAGTACGTGCACAAAAACGCGCACTCAGGAACAACGAAAGGCAAGATGAGAGTTATCAGTTTTTTTTTACTTACCGAATGAATAGATCGCTAAAATATTTTAAACTGGCAATGAAGATCCTATCAGTGAAATGAAAAAATAGTTTTTTCAGCAGCATCTAGTATTTTGCATTTTGTTGGAATCGCTCCTTCTCCGGCAGGCATGAGATGTCAGCCCAGTATGGTTGGTGTTTATGATGTTAACTAAAATTATAAGTGTAATGTCGTTAGTTTTACAGTCCTAGAAGTGACCAAAATTAATATTCTTCAACAATATCAATGCAATGTAGAGAATCAGGAGAAAAGGTCAAGATGATTAATAAACAGAACACAGAAGAGGGAAAAATGTTTTGACTTTTTAAAACAATTCTATCAACTAGTTCTTAAACTATAAATCTGTGGAAATCGGAAATTGAGAGTGGATATTGTCACCAAAACAGTTAAAAGAAACTGTAGTACTCAAGAGACCAAGTTATTCTGGGAATTCAAAGGTCAACTAGTCATTATTTTCGGAGAAAAAGCGGAAGGGCGTTAGAAAGAGCTAACCTGTTCCAGGCAGTTAGTTTTCAATTGAGTCGCTTGTTCTTGATGGATCAAGACTATAAAATCGTTATATAGCTGATTCAATAAAGGCTGCTTTGGACATTGAGAATTACGCACTGGTAAGCTATTGTTTGGTGGTCACTCAAGCAATGCATTGCCGTGGGTTTCATATGCCCAGTTGTCAATGGCCAATTGCTAGAGCAATCTAAATTGAATTAGGTAGAGTGGGCTATAGGTCGAGGGAACATGGGTTTCGTCTTAATGAAGGTCACGTTTTGTTTTGTTTTGATTTTTTACACAATAAAGTTGGATTACCCACCCACCAAGCTTCCTTTGAATTTCCCAGAATATGACCCTAAGACATTTAGGAAAACAGCCGCTAACGTACAACTAATGCCAAATATTGAGACATTGCAGTTAGCGCATAATCGTGCATGCCTAGTAGTCTACTACCTATTTCTAACTGATAAAGTAAAAACACTCTCGTTTTCGAGGCCCGAATTATCATTTACATTTCCCCTTCTTTCTTACATCAGTTTATTCGTAAAACACCATAACGGTAACAAGAACTATCCAATCTGTGGAACTCAGCCTACATTTGAGTTTCCCAGCCAGCATGTGCTAACGATCTACAACGCTGGGTAGCGCCACAACCCGAAACCTGATTTAGATTCATGAGAATGTCAAGAAAAAAACCAGTTGAATTTAAAAGAAAAGGTGCCGTTTCAGTGCAGAGACCCGCTCAAACTAAGTCATACTGAATGTGAAGAAACCTAAGTTTTGAGCAGTAAAAGTCAATGTGACATTTGTCACAGCAATAAGGAATTCAAACGATACATCCCTTGGATGCTGAGGATCTGGTGCCAAAATGTGCCTCTCAGGTTTTCCAAGAAAGCTGCTTAAAGATTCCCAGTAATAAAAGATAAGTGTGTCTGGTATAAATTTCCATTTCGCGTTGTCGTCCTCGCAAACTGTGAAGAAAGGCATACGATACACTGACTTCTTGGAAAATTCAACGAGCAGGTGAAACTGTGAGTAGTGGTACGATGGCCATTTTAAGAACCGCTGTAATCTATTATAGTTTAGCTAAATTAAGTTTTCACAATACACTATCTCAGCGGCTCAATTCAATAATGCTTAAACTAAGGCATAGTGCTTATTTTTCCCTGGTGATATGGGTGCAAATGCAGACGATGCAAGCTCAATATGAGAGATCTTATGAAAACATCTTCTGTGATGCTAAAGATTAAACCCAATTCATTTAATCTGGGGCCAGCTAGAATTATCCGTGCTGTTGCCGAGCGATGATGAATCTTCTGTAGCTCGCGGCCCTTTCGATTTGTCCGGCTGATAATTCGAGATGTTTCAAAGCACTACCGTGATTTGGTTATTAATAGATTTAGTAGGGTAACACCCTCCTACATTACGTCATTTCCGCCTTGATGATATTACCATTAGCAAATATTAAGCCAGCCATTTACGTTATCAAGTTATGATAGTTTATCAGTGGTATCTGTGGTGCTACACCGATACCAACAAATTTAGATAAAATCAATTATAATGCGCTCAGGTTATGATTGCGGCCTGTCTGGGCCCAGTTACGAAAGCCGATTAGCCTTATCCATGCAGGGTGACCAAAGTTTTGAAAATTTCCTCAGAGACCTAGTTCTGTTATTAAATCCAAACTGACAGTTCAGAACGGTCTATGAGAAAGCAAAAGCAATCGTGGGTTCAAATGGACCCGAAACTGGGTCGTGTTGATTTAATTTATGACTGCATTGTCCAGTGTCAATTAGAAAGTGAAATTTCAAATATAATTACAGTTTTGATAATGGATAGTTCCATTAAATTGTTAAATAGACAATAAATAGACCGTGTAGAAAACTCTGGGTGGTTGTAGCTTTTCTTGCGTAGTAAAATACACTTATGAGGCCTCGATCAGATCGAATAGTGCAGGATGACAGAGGGTGTTCCAAATCTCCCACCTCCCAAACCGTGAATGCCCAACTCCCGCCCCTTTTTCTTAGCTTCCTCTCCTTAGTCCTTTCTCCTTACGAAACATAAAGCATCGTTGTGTAATTTCCACCTATTTCTCCGCTTCCCGCCCTTTAGAACTCCCTTCTTCTGCTCTTTTCTCTCCCGCCTCCCCTACTCCTCCCTCCGTATATTTTTGCCGTGCTTCCACCCCCTTTCCCTCTCAACCCTGGAAGTGTGCAATAAACAAATGGGATAAACTGGTCATTCTCATGCATCAAAACTTCATGTATTGATCGCCTATTTACCTGCGAACTGTGTTATTTTATTCTCTATAGCCCTTTAATTTTGATATGTCAAGCGAGATTGAGTCACCAGTGTCCAAATATGGCAGAAGCAGTGAGTTCGGTGGTGTATTGGATTTCATACAATCCATGATAAGCAACGACACCCTTCGAAAATCATTTGATATTCCACATTTAGTCATGGTCGGTCGACAAAACATGGCGAAGACAACGCTTATCAACCGTCTGATCGGGCGATATCTTCTGCCCATGCGACGAAACGAAACAGCCAACACTCTTCAAGCGCGGACTACATACCCCATCATACTCAATCTCCGAAATGGTCCCAAGACAATCGTGGAAGTGCGATGTGATTCGTGCCAGGGTATTGGAGGAGAGGTAGAAAACCCCACGGATGATCAAGTGGAGGATTTCCTTAAACAAGTTGCCGGTCATCTTTCCAAAGAAGAAGGAACTCCTATATCCAAGACCCCAGTTAATGTGACCCTTCAAGGTATGATAATGTTTGATGATGGAAAGAAGGTTACCTTTAATTCGGTCATTAGAACTACACCTTTGATCTTTAAGGTGCCTTGTCCTCGTTTTGTTAGAACACTTTACTCGGTCAGATATTTTCTGAGCATTGTCTCTGGTACTAGACAAAATACAAGCTGTTCAAACAAATGATTTTTTTTTTCTTACTTAATGTTTCAGTTAGACAAAATTAACCTTCGTCAGGGGCCGGAAAAACGTCTCTAGTACTATTCTGGTACCGTGAGGTACCATCCCGCTAACTCTTTCAATCTGCCTGCCTCAGGTCCCAATCTCACCACTTTGACTTTAGTCGATCTTCCCGGCGCTCACTTTGCCAACGACGATCCTCGGATGAACCAGGCAACCCAATCTCTTGTGTTAGACTACATTGAGAAGAACACCAAAAGCATTATCGTCATAGTTTCCGAAGTAGGGGACCCCACAGGAGACAGTGCTATTAACCTGGTCATGCGAAAGGCTAAAGATTTCAGGCAGCGGACCATATGTGTACTGACTAAACCAGACAGGCTGAGAGAATCAGACGACATGGGCGTAAAAGTAGCATTGAACAAGTCAAGTTTCACCCTGGAGGACGGTCGCTTCATTGTGTTAAGAGGTACAATAGCAGTTGTTGCGTTAATCTTCTTTGCACATCACCAGGAGCCCATAACCTACAGCGAGCAGCTTTGATCTACTCGTGTCATGGCGTTTTCACCAATCAGTTTATTTTTAGAAATATTTTGGCGCGAATTTAGAATATCTTTCAAGTCACTTAAACCAGTCAGAATTAAACTATACAAACCTAAAAAAAGTATTATGAATTTTTTGGTATGTTATCATTTGAATGCGCACTTAGGCGAAGCAAAACTTCCATTTTTTGCAAGAAAAAGTTCTTTTAAATGTACGTAACAACAAACTGGTCCTTAAAAAGCGCTGTGACATAGATCCAGTATGGGAAGAGCTCGCTCTGGCTTAGAATCTAATACTCAGGCCATAACGTTTACAAAGACTTTTATGGTTGTAAACAATCCAAAGTGAAAGGGCTGTCGGTGGGAACCTGGCCTCCTTGGGTTGGACGAGAGGCGAACGTCTTTTTCTTGATTCAATCAATTTAATTTCGAACTGTTAGATTAACTATTTTTTCTGGAAAAAAAGTTAAGAGTTTTAATTTTATCAAAACTAAAGGAGAACCCTAAAACTAATTATGAAAGAGGAAAGAACTAAAGCTATTCTCCACGCATTCTGTCAACAACCAGGAAAAGATGGCACAGACGAGAACGAAAAGGACTGGGACGCGGAGATGACCCGTGTCAAGGAAAAGGAGTGGTTCGCGCGTCATCCTCAATACAAAAGCATTCTTCAACTGTGTGGAATTGACAAGCTCATGGATACCATGATCTCACTTCTGGCCCAAAAAATGATCACCGAAATTCCAGTCTTAGTGCGCGAAATGAAGGAACGAAAGGCAAAGGTAGGGGATGAGAAAAATGACTTCCTCCCTTTTAACTTTATCCAACAATCAGAACAATCTAAGTATCTGAGTATAGTATCCCAAAAGTAATTTACGTCACCCGTTCAACCCCAAATATCGCGTGTATAGAACCTTTGAACTTTTTTCGCAGGGTCATTTTATATGTGCTATATTTTCCTTTTTAAACCCCGATTCACTTACACTCGCTAATTAAACATCTCATTGCTGTTTCTAGGTGGAATCAGAACTCAAACGTCTGGCTCATAGCGAAGTACCTGAGTCGAGTGAAGGCAAAGGAGCGCTTGTAATGAAAGTTAAACAAGCCCTCATATGCCAGCTGAAGACGCTACTTTTTAACAACACGTCCGACATTGGAGGAGGAGAGCAAGTGCGAACATTGTTTAACAAATTCCACGACGCTGTTTTCAAGGTGGGCGAAAAGATAGTGCCAATTAAATCTTTCGTTATTGATTACTTACGATACATTTNAGTACCTGAGTCGAGTGAAGGCAAAGGAGCGCTTGTAATGAAAGTTAAACAAGCCCTCATATGCCAGCTGAAGACGCTACTTTTTAACAACACGTCCGACATTGGAGGAGGAGAGCAAGTGCGAACATTGTTTAACAAATTCCACGACGCTGTTTTCAAGGTGGGCGAAAAGATAGTGCCAATTAAATCTTTCGTTATTGATTACTTACGATACATTTGAGACCTGCCCCGTACTACAAAAAACTATCCGCGACAAAACTGTTGAGGCACTGTAATACATAGAGGTGTTTTGGGGTACCCTAATAAAGACAGCCCCCCTTCCCTTCCCCCGAAGTCAATGTTGGGTCGTTTGGTGCTGCCCACAAACCTCATGACCAACGGTACAACATAGGGGGAGGGACAAGGGGCACCCCTGAAAGGTATTTTGAACTATTTTTGATTAGAAACTTGTTTTATCGCCAATTGTACCAAGGAAAAAATGAAAGGGCGGTATCAGCAGTTTCTTTCAACTTATACCCGTAAGATTTCGAAGGAAAGTTATGTTTGTTTGATTTTTGAAATAAACTTTTTTTCCAAATCTAGGTAGACCCCCTGGTCAAGCGAAGTGATGATGAGATACGAAAACAGCAAAGGAAGCTCGAGGGTGTGGCAGCTCCTCTTGGTGACAGTAGTGAAAACAGCCTGCTGTTGCAAAAACTACTGTATGAGTCATACCAAGGAAGGAGTACTGTGCCAGTTGCGAGTAGCACAGGATTCCCAGGTATTAGCGTAAATTTCTGAAAGACTCTCCGAAGTCCTATAGATCGATACCCCTGTGTTACTGCCGGCTCCTGCGTTACACTTACGACTCGAAAAACACACGCGTGACGTCACGCACGGTTTGGTATTCCACCCCATAATGTGTTGTGAGAGCAAAAAAGAAAACCATGTGCTCAATCGAAAGAAATGTGTTACGGTAAAATCGTTTTTGGAGCATAGTTTTATACGGTTTATAATGTTTTATAACCGTTATCAGAGGACACAAACGTAAGTTCCAGTTCGCTTTTTTTTCGCTAGGTATTTCTAGTATTTATTGTTATTTACCTTTTGTTTTAGTTTTCGGAACCGTACAAACTGTCCTCGTCGTTCAAGTAAAGTGGTCGCAAAGTAGCAATTTTCCGGTCAAACGCTTTAGACTTTTTTTTTGTTTTATCATTAGTCTCAAGATAATGAGCTAATTTTCTTTAAAACCTCTTAGCGCCTAAGTGAAATTTAAGGGACCTTACGATCCGATAACAGCGACGTCCACGAAAATGTCGCTGAAAAAATAGACTTCCCATTATTTCACTTTTTTTGCGATTTTCCAAGGGGCCCAGTTGCTTAAAAGACTGGAGGGAATTTGGGTTGCAGCTGAAGAGAAGGGACTGCGCCCGAGTTCTGACAGAGACGGTAGAATTTATCGCCTTGCCCTTCCCGTTCCCAAGTAAACTTAGGCCACGTCCACACGTATCCGTTTTTGTTTGAAAACGAAGATTTTTTCCTCCGTTTTCCAAAAAATACATGTCCATACGAAGCGTATTCGAATCATTTTCGCCCGTCCATACGAAAACGCTAAACAATGAAAACACGAGAGCATCCCTCACATAGCATGCGTTATGATAGTGGTAAGTCATGTATTACATCATCGTATCCGAAAACCTACGTTTTCGTCCGTCCACACGTACACGTGAAAACAGCGTTTTCGAAAAGTTCCGTTTTCATTGATCGTTTTCATCAGATACGTGTGGACGGAAGCCGTATCCGTAAAGAAAAAGTTGCGTTTTCAAATCAAAACGGATACGTGTGGACAGAGCCTTAAAATTTGGTCATTTCACGTCGTAGTTTTGCAGGGTCTGCAAAGAAATGTACAAAAAAGCGTGATGCACGTGCAAAGTTGTTGTTTTGCTCATTAAACCTATTGCTTTTTTGACGTTCCCGTTGCCGTCGCCGTTGTAGTTTCGTAAGGTCCCTTTTCTTACCAAATGGCGCCAACAGTGACCTCGTAACACCACTTTCAGTTTTCAAACGCTTATATAACTTTATAAGTAAATTTTCTTAACAATAAGTGAATTAACAGTATATTAGTAAAATATTAAAATTTATGAAAGTTAAAGGTAACAACTCTGCCTTTGCATGAAGTAGGTCTTAAGAACTGACTTTAAAAAGCGCTATTCATTCCCTCTGATTGAACTACTTTTATAGACCTCATTTAGTTCTAAATGACACTTATCTTCTTGTGTTCACAGGAACAACGTCCAAGACTATCGATGAACTAGTCCAAAGTCCAGTAGATCAACTGATTCCCATATCCACCCGTCTGGTCAACAACGTGGAGAAAACTCTAAGCACAATAGTGCAAGATGCAATCAATAAAAGTTTGTCTAGTTTCCCAACTCTCAAGCAAGTGGTCGAGGCCAAGGTAGTGAGCAAGATTTTTGACACAAAACGAGAGCAGACCATTCAGTTCATTCAGCAGTTTCTCGAGATGCAGAAGAAGAGCATTGATGTGGTGTTCGCTGCAGTTCCGTTTCCCGATGACCTAAGCTCATGGGAAGCTATTCTCGCCCTCAATGGCAAAACCCACCCTTGCATGATGTCAAGGACAATGTCCCACATGAAGTATCTCGCGAGAAAGCTTTATCCAAGTGAACTGATGGAAGAGGTTGAAGGCCGAAATTCACGAGGAAATTATAAGGTGCGCTCTCAGTAGTTCAAAAACATACCTGCATTCAAATGAGACGAGTAATCTGAGCCGCCTTTGCCATTTTCATGAGCTTGTGCAGAAAACCCTTGTGTGATCATTCAATTCAGTTCAATTCAAATTAAACCTCTTCTGAAGTACTTTCTTCGTGTCTTTTGTTCTTTTTTATAGACTGTCAACTGTTTCTAATGTTTGAATCTGTGTATAAGAACTTGTAGTTTGACCATGCAAATCAGTAAAGCTTTCTAGAAGCAGTGCTCCCACATATAGTACTATTTATTACGCTTTATTAACTGGATCTAACTTTCAAGTCATCCGATGAAATCCTAACGTGTGACAGTTCAAATCAAAACTCAAGTCTCAAGGAGTTGTAGTTCTGTTTATTTTTTAACATTTTACGGAACAAAAGTTGGCGCTTTTCTTCAATTTTAATTTAAGGGAATGAGCTAGAAACGTTACAGGAAGTGTACCTGGCCCTTGGAAATTCAGTTGAGCTAAGCCGGATGAAATATAACAGATAACAAGGTGTATTTCTGTTCCTCAGGAGCTCGAAGATGTAAAGAGGGTCAAAAGGAATGTTGTACGCTGCTTCAACGTGATCAAAATGAACGTCTGCGATACAGTTCCCCGCTGCATTCTTCATTTTTTCATCACCCAACTGGTGGATGACCTTGAGCACGCCTTGGAACAAGAAGACTTGATCCAGTTCTTAGAAGAAAAGCAGGATATCCTGGAAAGGCGTAAAGTGTGTCGTGCCCAGTTCTCCGCTCTGGAGCAAGCGCTGCCTCAAACTGACGAAGTGTTGAAGAAATTACTGCACATGCGAAACGGATCTGGTGCACGAGAGAAGCTGCAGTTTTAACTGTCAATTCTGGTAGCCATAGCGACAAGAGTCTTCAATAGAAGAATTAAATTTTAATTAGGCCATATATTAAGAAGTTTACAACAATACAGAGACAAACACTCCCACAAACAAAGAAAGGGAAAAAATTTAAAGTTATCATTTATCTTTATTCTGACTAATGTGGTTCACTCGTATATTTAAGAGTGGATAAAACCTTAATTTTCAATGAATCAAACGAAATAGAAATATTTTTAGCGCTATTTCATATGCAACTTTTTGTTAGAAACTGTTCAGTACGTAAAATATACACGCAGTTAGGCATGAGATGAGGTCAGTCGAGTATAACGTTCATGGTATTCAGGAAGATTCATAGACCAGCTAAACGCTTTTCCTCCATAGTTGTGAGTGGTTTAAATATCGAAAGGCGGGGCTACGCTATCGGTGAAGATTTAGAGTGTGCGCTCCAGTATTCCTTTAAAAACCTAACAACACATTGCGACCACAGAAAAAAAGATAATCGCTCGATAATTTTGTTTAATAGTACTCCTCTACTCTATTCTGTCGAAAGATCATCAAAATTGCAGATCACGGTTCGAATCAGGAAAGATCGGTTTGGTATCTTATTCTTCGAGGAAAGAGTCGATTTAATTTACATAAGGGCGTATACGACGAGGGCATGGCATCTGGAATTCTATTCCCCAGACTTTCTTGATTCCTCTTTTACATAATTCAGCTTCTAACAGCCCAAGGGGAGAAGTCGAGTAGCACAGAAAATAATATTCCACAATCATAATTGCCTCCCTTTCTGTAGCAAAATAAACAAGCAAGCAAGCAAATCACGAAAATAGCACAGCAAGTTTCACTTACCTGCTCTTCTTGACTTTTCGCGAGCTACCTGGACCGTCCGTGAGAAGAATCAGGCTGCTCTTAAACGCGATCGCCTGAGGTTAAGGTGATTCGTAAGTGGGAGAGAAATTCCTCAGACGGCTTTTTCCCTGGTCAGTGAAGTGCACTAATGTTTACATTTCCGTTATTTTGACCGTGAAATTCTCACGGCAACAAGCATTAATCTACTCGTAACGCGTCGACGGCGATCCATGCGGTGGCATCGAAAAACCGTGCGAGGAAACTTGTTTTAAAGGTTACCAAAGGCTTTATACTACTACATGAGAAATTTCTGCAATTTGATTGGCTTAGAACAGTGCTATTTCAGCTTAATTTGAAATACCCACATGTGAAAATTACAAACCTTTTGCGAGTGGTAATATAAACAAATAATAGCCTGCATGTATGTGATATTTCGCATAAATACCACCTATGATATTTCAAAATTGTCTCAAACCGTTACTCGCCTAAATGCTCCTGAAATTTAGTATAACAATTTTGAAATATCACTACAAATCATGCTATTATCTATACAAATATTTTCATATATAATGGATACCTAGAGTAAATATGTACCAGCAATGCTTTGCACTCTCTTTCCATAGTTTGTTGAAAAGAAAGGGCTTTTGTTATAAGGAAAACTGTCTTGTGTGTACCAGTGCTTTCTATAGTACTTTTTCTAGTTATTGTCTGAGTCTCCCGGGGTGTCTGAATATAGGCAATTCAGTTTTAGAATCGTTGCGCTTTGCATTTGGCTATTCGCTATTAATCGGAAAACTTCTTCCAAATTTGGTCAACACTAGCTTCCAGTTTAGAACAATAAGCTCCTGGATTTAGGCCAATCACAAATGAAGAAATATTTTGAATAAATAATAATTAAGTTAAAGGGTGAAGAACATTGATTGGCATCACCGGTTCCACGCAATTTTATGCATTCGGTCTTGACTTGACTTTAAGGCAGGAGAGAATCAGTGTCAAAGTGAAAACAAGTGTTACTCGGTTGCTAACCCCAATTCAGAGTACCCGCAGACTGACCAACTGAAGTTAACTTGTTTTAAGCCAACCAGAACGTACCTCTCGGCACAGAAGTAAGTTAATCTGTAGTTTTGAATAAGTAAAACCTCCAATTGAAAAGTTTCCTAGGTCACAAACGAGAGTTATATTGTCCTGTTTCTGATCGACTAGTTTGCAATTAAAAATCATCTCATATATATACCAATTGAGGCGGTTTTGACTAAGCGCACAACTAAATTCAGAATAAAAAAAGGTTTTGGGGGAATTAAAGACTTTTAAAGAGCTACCCAGTTTTGCTTAACCAAAAAAAGGAAATAAATAATTAATGTTTTATAAGCAATAAGTAAACTTTGAAGTTCCTTTACGTTGCATGTTATTAAAGTTGAAAAGAAAAAACGACATGTTGAATTTAAGAATCCCTTGTATAAAACTTCTATAAATATCAACTGGGTTCCTTGAAAAAAATACTTTCTTCCATTGATATGAATTTTTTAAATTCACTTTGGTTCAAATTAATGTAAAGTGAAGACAACTATGACTCTATTGGTAAGTTTTTCTTGGAATTCAAATGTCAATAGTCTCATTAATATATCCTGAGAAACTAAGGCGGAAGAGAGCTAGGAAAGGCAACACCTGCCCCGCAATCGTTTTCACTTAGGTGGCCCCCTTCTGCTAATCAATGAAGCAAAGCTTTGATCGAGATCCTTATGCACCGTTTCGCTTGTAGTGGAAACAACAAAATTCGAGAAAAATCCTGTTTTTGTTTTATTCTTTTGTTTTTTCGTTTTGAATTAACAGCTGCTTTGAAACATGTTAATGGTAATGCTGAAGAGGTTGTCCTTCATGGGAACGTAGGATTTCATCCACAGATCGATTCAAAGTTTAGAACAAATACTTTGCCTCCCTAATCGCCTCTAAGCTCAGTCCTTAATAGAGCAAATGGAAATAAAAGCCAAATAGAATTTTAAAGGAAATCAGACAAGTTTATGTAAAGCATATTAATTTCCCTGAATGACCTCGTTCAGTCAAAGCAACGAATCTCTAACTTTTTTTAGCTCCCTCTTTCCCCAGTGTCCCATTCCCCTTCATATTTATACCTCGTTGTAGAAACATCCTGGCTAATGGCTAAAAACGTTCGTCGGAAAATTAAAAAGAATCAATTCGATTTGAGGATCTCTTCAGTTTGCGTAGTAGAATACACAAGTTCCATATGAATCTAAAACGTTCCATCTTCGGACGTGTACTGCTCGAAATGTTACCCAAAGCCCCCCTGCAAACAGACGCAACATTGTTAGCCAACAACTCCCAACATTGTTGGATGTTACATGTTGCGTCCGTTTGCGCATTCTGTTTTATGTTGTTGCTGTTTGTTGGGAGTTGTTGAGCAAAGTTTGAAACCGGTCAAAATTTAGCTACGTGCAAATGGACGCAACAACTCCGTTTGCACGCGGTTTAGGATTGATTTGTTCGTTAATGGAAGTTGCGTACAAAAGGAATTTTTTAACTCAAAGCTATATTTAAAACAGGGTTGAAATGCTACCGTGTCAGTTTGTTTGTTTCTGTTATTGTTTTTGTTTGTTTGATTGATTTTTTAGCACCGTGACATGCTAACTCATTCTTCTCTATAAAAACGAAGTGTTATTACTACAATACACCGTAAAAGTCAGTTTACATGCCATCTCTATCTACATATCAAACGGTGACCCAGCTGCCCTTTGCTACCAAGGGACTGGTACCCAATACTCCTTCCATTTTCCAAGAAAGATGTAAAAAGATCCCTAGAATTTAAAAGACAATTGTTTCAAGTTTGCAGGTGAATTTTCTTCTCGTCGTCCCTGTAAACGTTGAAGAAAGGCATACATCAATTCTTGGAAAATTCAGTGAGCAGGTAAAAACAGTGAGTCGGTATCATTTCATGAGCCGCTTTTGATTTCCAACTTAGTTAAATTAGAAATATATAAGGCCATTAACCTCAGTATCCGACTGCATTTTGTGTTATAAGTTGTTCTTGGCGACGAAAATGCAGGCAAATCACACTAACACAAGTTCATAATCATGATTTGTGCCATTGATTAATGCTGGAAAAAGCATTTCTTTTAATTTTTTAGCGACTTTTTTTAGCTATTTTTTGAAATTTTTATTTGGCGTCTTTTATCGCCTTTTTTGTGACTTTTCTTGGCGACATTCTTAGCCATTATTATACCGATTTTTCTTAGCAACGCATTTTGCTATGCTTTTTGACTTTTCACTTGAGGGTTTAAGTAGTCCAAGTGAGTTTAACTGGTAATTAAGTGGAAATTCGTGCCCAAACAGCTCCAGCGGCTATGGTCGGTGGCTTGGAATATAGCCGGGAAACACAAGAAGAACCGATAGAGCACACTGATGACATGACCAAACAATCGCTATTGCAAACACGTAGCCCGCAAAAAATTTCAATTCTACACTATAACTAGCCCTCACAAACCTACTTTAATCGGTAGCCCAATAGTAGTAGCAGTAACAGTGACGGACTCTACTTTTTTCTTGATCGGCTGTTACAATCGAAAGCACAGAGACTTATGTTAAAGATTCTCGGACTGGTGTTTGTTTTAACTAGGACGGGGTAACTGCAGGTGGCGGATGGCAAATGGAAAAATGCGGACAGAAAAATAGGATATTTAACAAGTCATACTTTAAAAGAAAAAATGAAAAAGATTTTAGTCTAAAATTAGGCAATGAAAACTATATATGTTTCCATGAAATAGATGAAGTCAACAGAATCTTTAACATCAGACACCTGCGTCTGTGCTGTCGGAAAATAAAAACTTTTATTGGTTGCTATCCTACTTTCCTACAGGCGCAAAATCTTAAGGCTTCAAATTCGCTATTCTTCTCGATTCTTATTTTCAATGTCTCCCAAAATGATCTGAAAATACACTCCGGCCAGTGTAATCTTATATCATTCCCAAATGATAGTTCTCATTGGCGGTATATCCATTATATAAACGACAGCCTTTCAACGCAAAGTCCGATTTGTACACAATCTTTAATTTCAACCGAGTCTAGGTCTGATTAAAACAGAAAAAATCTAAGAGCAAACATCCGGTTCTATAGCAAAAGGTTTTTTAATTCCTATTTTAATCTTAAACGCTTGATTCGCATAAACATAAGTCTTCTTCAATGTTTGATAGTTTAGGGTGTAGAAGAGCGGAATTTTTTTTGCAGGCTAGGTGTTTGCAATAGCGCTTTTTTAATTTAGTCATCGATGTGTTATATCGGCCCTCCCAGTGTTTCTTATATTCTAAGCCATAGTAACCTAGAGTTGCTTTCAACCACGTATTTCTTCTCACCAGTTATAGTCGTATGTGCAACATGAGACTACAAAAAAATTCGCTAAAATGAAGGAAGAAAAAGAAATGCCTTTTCCGCATGCACTAACTTGTGAGCTACTGTAGAGGGGCAGCACCTGGTTACATTATAAAACCGGGGCTTAATCCAGGGCTAGTGAGAATAATCGAGAGTTGTCGATGGAATCGCCCGAAGTTTTCGTTTTTTCTTGGCCAGGCTAAGTATCCGACATGTTTCAAACCATAACATTGTATTCGCGGCTTAAACAGCTCGCTCAGCTCGGAGGCAGAGTCGTGGCAAGTCTAACCCTTCCTATTTTTTCGTAGTTTTTTCCGGCGTGATATTTTGTCCATTTCCACCTGCTTGATGGTATTGTCATCAGCATATTATTAAATATCTTATAACATCAAAGAAATTCACGCAAATGATAGGTATTGCTTGTCTGTTATTTAATACAACAGTCACGCCAGCATTGCCGGCAGAAACTCCCCAGGCTGTTGTGTGTGCTAACAGGCAATTTTAGAACCGACTACCTGTGTCAGCTTGTATTATGCTGACTGCCTAATGTCACAATTCAGAACCTCGTATACACATCGCTTTATTTTCCGCAGTTCTTTAGGTATATATGTCAAGACAAGTAGAGACCCCCGTGGCCAAATATGGCAAAAGTAGTGATTTCGGGAAAGTGTTGGATTTCATTCAATCCATGATAAGCAACGAAACCCTTCGACAAGCCTTTGACATTCCGCATTTAGTCGTGGTAGGTCGGCAAAACATGGCGAAGACAACCCTGATAAACCGCCTGATCGGGCGATATCTTCTGCCCATGCGAAGGGATGAAACAGCCAACACCCTTCAGGCGCGGACCACGTGCCCCATCATACTGAACCTGCGCAATGGACTGGAAACAGCTGTAGAAGTAAAGTGTGATGCATACCCTGATATTGGAGGAAGAGTAGAAAAACCCACGGATGATGTGGTGGAGAAATTCCTTACAGAATTCTCTACCTATCTTCTTAAAGAAGAGGGGACTCTTATATCCAAGACCCCAGTTAAAGTGACCCTTCAAGGTAATATATTTGATCCAAAAGTAACTAAAAGTTAAGTTGCGTACATTTACTCTACTGGAAATACGGTGCTGTAGTGATCTCCTCGGTTCACGTTTATCGCAAGTGCTCCGTTAATAGAATTTAAATTATGTTTTCCAGAAACGAAGAAAGAAAGCGCAGTGAACTAAAAAATAGGAAGAACGAGGAGGAATAGAGTAAGAGAAGAGAAATGGGTATGGTCTGAACCGCTTAGTTTTCAAAAATCTGCTTGCAGTTGATTTCATATTTGGCTGCAAAAAGTCTCAGTTACAAAACTTAGTGCCACCGTTGTTGTGCCATCCTAGTTGTTTGTGAAAGGCCTTTAGTGTGGCCCAGATCTGAAATAACCTTTTTAATCTGTCTGCGCCAGGTCCCGACCTCACGACCCTGACTTTGGTTGATCTTCCCGGCGTCCATTTCGCCAACAATGATCCTCGAATGAACCACGCGACACAATCTCTTGTGTTAGACTACATTGAGAAGAACACAAAGAGCATCATAGTGATAGTGTCCGAGGTAGGGGACCTCACAGGAGACAATGCTATTAATCTGGTCATGGAAAAAGCTGCAGACTTTAGGAGCCGCACTATCTGTGTACTTACCAAACCGGATAGGCTGAGAGATTCCGATGACATGGGCCTCAAAGTAGCCTTGAATCAGTCAAGTTTTACCCTGGAGGAAAACCGCTTTATTTTGTTGAGAGGTAAGCATAAGATCATGTTACGTTGTTGGTTGTTCATGTTTTTTGTTTCTTTGTGGGGGGGGGAGGTGGTTGTTGTTGTTGTTTTTCTTTTTTATGCNTGAACCGCTTAGTTTTCAAAAATCTGCTTGCAGTTGATTTCATATTTGGCTGCAAAAAGTCTCAGTTACAAAACTTAGTGCCACCGTTGTTGTGCCATCCTAGTTGTTTGTGAAAGGCCTTTAGTGTGGCCCAGATCTGAAATAACCTTTTTAATCTGTCTGCGCCAGGTCCCGACCTCACGACCCTGACTTTGGTTGATCTTCCCGGCGTCCATTTCGCCAACAATGATCCTCGAATGAACCACGCGACACAATCTCTTGTGTTAGACTACATTGAGAAGAACACAAAGAGCATCATAGTGATAGTGTCCGAGGTAGGGGACCTCACAGGAGACAATGCTATTAATCTGGTCATGGAAAAAGCTGCAGACTTTAGGAGCCGCACTATCTGTGTACTTACCAAACCGGATAGGCTGAGAGATTCCGATGACATGGGCCTCAAAGTAGCCTTGAATCAGTCAAGTTTTACCCTGGAGGAAAACCGCTTTATTTTGTTGAGAGGTAAGCATAAGATCATGTTACGTTGTTGGTTGTTCATGTTTTTTGTTTCTTTGTGGGGGGGGGAGGTGGTTGTTGTTGTTGTTTTTCTTTTTTATGCAAAAAGGGAACAGAATACCCTACGAGTAGCTTCCGGCCGGGCACTCCTCGCAGGGTAGGGAAATGATTTACATATACTACTTGGAAGCTAACTGAAGAAGTAGCAGTTTTTTAAATAATTTAAAGTATAATTTCTGTTTATTGTAAAGGTCTCCAGTTAGTATCAACTCAGTGAGCGCGGCAACTTTCATTCTCTGGAACGACCCCTTTCAGCTACCTGGTTATTTAAAAACACATCCCTAAAGATCCAAACTTATCGTAAAAAAATGTCAGTCATTTTTTATCTAAATTGTTGACTGACAACGAGATTTTCGTGGGCTTTGTGCAAGGATCTTAATAGGGTTAACCGTACACTTGACAAAAGTCGACCTCACGGGTTTCTTAGCGAGCGGAACGATCTTTTTAGGCGGCCGAGGGAGGGACGAAGTCGTGAGAGGTCCCGCGCCATATGAAATCAGACAAAGGACTTTTTTGAAAGTCTAGGTTAACCGTTACGGGCCGTAAGACAGATATTTGAGGTAAAAATGAAAGTTTGTAACCGTTAGTCGTAAAAAAGTTGACGGTGAAAATGTTTTCTAGCCCCATTTTTTCATGATGCTCGTGCATGGCTTATTCACCCTATTCAGTTCGGTCGCACTTTTTTTCTATCCCAGGGGAAACTGGGGGCCTATTTCTCGAAAGGTCCGATAATGAACGGGCCCGGGAAGCTGTTGTTGTTTACATGCAAGATCGAGGTTTCAATGGTTATGCAGATAATATGATAAAACTATCGGTTAACGCGATACAAATTGAAATGGTTTGTTTGCAAGCACCTTTTGGAATATTTGATTTCGGGCCCAAAAAGTTACCGGGATCTTCGAGAAACGGATCCCTGGAAAACTCCTTGGAAGCTATAAAACCGATGGAAAATTTTAAACTTTTTTCACAAACAATTGAGCTTTCTTCGTCAAATATCTACGGAACCCACCGCGGAGAATAAATCGTTTATAGCCGCAGAAAAGGGCAAAATATTTACTGTAAATGCCTTCCCCCAATTGAGAACTTCCTGTGTGGGTGCATTAAAGAGGTTTCACTGTATATTGAAATTAGAGTGTTATTTTTTTCATATAACCCGTTGTCTGCTTGAAACTGAAGTTTTTCTTATGACAATTATTGTGAAACGATTGGGAACAGGAAAAGATGCAACCGACGCGAATGAGAAAGACTGGGATGCAAAAACGACTCGTTTAAAGGAGAGAGAGTGGTTCGAGGGTCATCCCCAGTACAAAGGCATCCTTCATTTGTGCGGTATTGACCGACTCATGGACACTATGATCTCACTTCTGGCCGAGAAAATGGGCAGTGGGATTCCAATTTTAGTGAACCAAATGGAAGAGAGAAAGAAGAAGGTAAGGAAACAAAAATAGATCTCTGTCGATTATATTCAGTTCCACAACAAGAAACAGTTTAACCTGTTAACAACATACGTCACCGTTTGCGATAGGACATTAGGTACTGAAAAATTGATGAGTCTGCAAATTTTATGCAAATAAGGCTCTGGGTTAAGTCTTGAGATCGCAAGGGCCTTCCCCTACATCTACCTCATTTCACAATGAATATCGAATATATAGGACTGAAATTTTCTGAGAAAGCCAATTGTGCGATATCCTTTCCTTTTCAGAAGTAACTTTTTAGTTGTAACTCACTACTTACAAATAAGGTTCAACTGCAAAAATCACCTGCTTTGCAAAGAAAGTTTAAATCCCTCTTCAAGCGCTTTTATTTCATACAGGGCCGAGTTGTTCAAAGCTGGGTTAAGATAACCCAGGGTTAGTGCGAAATTTGAATTCATATTTGAAAGCTTAAAAAGCTTTTCAGTTTTAATTCTTTTTGCTACAAGTTGATGATTGGAAGCTCTAAAATTAACAGAGAAAATTATCCGAGAAAATGCTTTTGAACACAAGAAAAAGAAACCAGGGTTAAATTTAACCCTGGGTTAAGCACTAATCGGCCTTTGAACAACTGGGCCCAGATCTATTTTTGGTTTGTAGGTAGATTCTGAACTGCAAAAGCTGTCCGAAAGCGAAGTTCCAGAGTCCAGTAATGAAAAAAGGAGGCTTGAGATGAAAGTTAAACATAATCTTGTCACCCAGCTGAGGGACCTTCTCCATAAAAACAGGTCTAAAATTCGAGGAGGAGAACAAGTGAGAGCTTTGTTCAATGAATTCCACAATGATGTTTACAAGGTTAGTGAAAAAGATATTTTATGATATTAAGTGGACATAACGGGTTGTTTTCCGTATATTTAGGCAGCTTTTCTTTTCTGCCAGAATGATCTCCACTATATTTTTTTCGGTCATCAAAAGGTCTCCATTAAATTGGGGTCTTCAGCAAACGTAGTGCTTGGGAATTTTTGGATCTTTTTATAACTTTTTAAAATAAAGAAATACTGAATAATGCTTGAAATAATCGAAAAGGGGACGTTTTAAGTTTTGAATGAGACTTTCATCAACATTCAGTTTGAAGTGAATTATAATACTTCTCGTAGACAAAGGTCAGTTAGTCCCCCATCACACCAAGGGGCCTCAGTCGTGAATCCGTTAGCGGACTTACTCAGGTTTTTTCAACATGACAGTTTACCCTTTTCTTCCTTTTATTCTCAACTCATACTCTTTTCCAAAATGGTAGCCAGATGCCGTCTTAAGGCCACCTTTGAAGGACATTGGAGCCCCAGTAGGCGAATCCTCGTTTACATTTTTTGCCTCATTAACATTTGCTTATTATTAACTGATGAAGCTAATAAAATAACATCTCTGACTATTGAAAGAGCATAATAATTTCAGTGACCTCTATAAATTTGAGCCGGATATACCCAATAGTTTCGGAGAAATTCTCTTTGAAAAATCCCAATTATGTAAGAGCTCATTAACCATTTTTGCCACTCAGCAATTTCGCAGTTTTTGAGTGCTGCTATTTCCTCAGGGGCACCCAACGTCAATTTTCGGAAAATATCTGTTCGGAAGACGATTTGAGATCTAGAATTTTCGGAACATTTGTTGTAAAATTTCTTGCTTGCCTGCCTCTCCTAGGATTTTCGAACATCCAAAAAATGGTATAATTGCCCATTTTTAACGGATTTTTACCCTAAAAAGATCAGCTAGAATTTTCGGGAGCTTTTTTTCTGGCTGAAATTTTCGAAAAGGTAAGTTTTGATCCCTATAATTTTCGGATCACTAGACTTTCAGCTAGGAAATCCGAACTGATGAAAAATTTTTAAGGGATAAAAGTATGCCTATATCTACCGTTTAAATACTAAAATACGTTTAACAATGCTATGTTTAAGTGATTTTGAACTTTATTCTCGTTGGGTGCCCCTGTTTCCTTTATTATTGATTGCAAAGAGCTGACACTTGTACAAACTGCTCAAATTGACCAGCTCTTTCAACTTTTGAACCTAACTGGTATACACGACGACGTCGTCTATGGGTTACCTCGCTAATGAGCAAAAATGTAAAAAATGACGTCACTTTGAATGAACGTCTCTTTAATGAAGATCTGAGTATCACGAATGATGATCCTCGTCTCAAGTACATCTTTACAGCCAGTAAAAACCATAACGGGATGAAAATGTCATTTAGGGCGGACATGCTCTGCCAAGAGAACATAAAAGGCTTTTATGTTCAGGCTTTTATGTTCTCTTGGCTCTGCTAATCCCTTCACTTCTAAACCTTTCTCTCTTCTAAGCCCTTCTCTGAAAGATTAATCTACCAAAGTAAGAAATTTTTCCCTCGTTAAGCTGTGAGCCAAATGTGGGCGGCAACTGAGACCGGCGAATATAACCGGTGCCCCCTGTTTAAGCGTACCCAATGCACCCAACGTACCAGTTCCGAGGCATTCCGTCAGAAAAAGATAATAATTATGATCAAAGTTTCCGGTGGGGATTTTTAATTCCAAAAGATCGGTAAAGCAGCATAATTACAGTAAGTAAAAAATTGTTTTAATAGGCGATTTGCACGATGGCGTCATTTTACTACTACGACCAGAATCCTTTTCGTTTTTCCTTTCACATTCACATTTGGTAATCCCAGCGAGGTTTGAATAACAAAAGCCTTAATTTGCACAAGAAAGCAAACCCCTGAAGGATTCTGGTCATAGTAGTAAAATGACGTCATCATACAAATAGTCTTTTTCTCGTTGGAGTATGCATGGAGCTGACCCAAGAAAAGAGTACTTTATTCTTGTCAGCCTTACACACGTTTTTCACAACAGCTCCAATTCAATCACCAACTTCGCCAAATTATTGGCGACTTAAATAACTCATGTAGGTACGTTCGGGCTTGCTGACCATGAGGGTTGCAAACAAAACTCCCTGCTCTGTTGAACATGAAAACAAGGCCTACAAAATATGCTTTACAACAAATTTTACTGCGCTTTTCAGAAACATGCGAACTCTAAAGTTCAAAAGCCGCCTTCACAATTACGTTTTTCGCTGCCGTCAATCATAATTACGATCGCAACGAACCTTGAAACACAGAAACACACAAAACGGATGGAAATCCACCAATGACAAATCACAAACCATGACCTTTTGAACCCGTTGAAGTAAAATTTTGTGTCCTAAGAGTTCGTTAAGATGATTAATGGCAGTGAAAAGCGCAATCGTCAGTTAGCTTTTGCACTTCAGAATTCGCATGTTTGTGAAAAGCGCAGTAAGAAACTTCTTCACAAAACTAATCATACTTGTTTCTTTGTCCTTTCAAATTTGTCCAATATGTTATCCGGATATTTTGTGTGTAACTATTGTATCGTGAGTTTATAACATATTTGTTTGCAGAAGCTGTTCAGATAATCGAGGTTAAGAGTCCTGTTGATCAACTGATTCCAATAACAGAAAATCTTGTCAAAAACGTGGAGAAAACCTTACGAGAAATAGTCCAGAGAGCGATCAATGAAAACTTTTCCAAGTTCCCTACCGCCTTGAAAGTGGTTGAAACGAACGTGGTGAACAAAATTTTCAAAACCAAGCGAAAGCAGACGACTACATTCATCCAGCACTTTATTGAGATGCAGAAAAAGAGTATTGACAGAGTCTTCGCTCCTGTCCCGTTTCCAGATGAACTTAAAATCTGGGATTCAACGCTTTTGCAGAATCGTAAACCACATCCCTGTATGGAGTCTCCAATGATGTTTCACTTGAAGTCACTGGCTGAGAAGCTTTATCCAGAAGGAATGATCAAAGATATTGAACGCGGAAATAACCAGGGAAACTTCAAGGTCAGTAGTAAATCAAAAGACTACGACGAGTAAACTAACCCTGTGGCTTTTTGACGCTCTTTCCTCTTCAGGTCGTGTTGCTCAGGTCTTTTGTTTCAGATCATGATTACGGACGATAGCATGACATACTCTTTTTACGATACTTATACTTAAATATTTCCAGATCTCCTAAGTTTGCGTCAAGTGACACGCGCTCAATTTCCTCCAACTGCACGTCTGTCACCCCTAATAAGTCCACGACCCCCTTTTTCTCTTGGACAATTATACCCAATTTACCTCTTCAGAGGGTTGTAGCATGCAAGTCATGGATGGGCAACAACTTCCTAGTCCTTCGATCTATATTCTGCAATTCCATCTTGTTCCAACAACTCCAACTCCATATAGCATCACTTTTCTCAGGTATTAATTGACAGCATTGTGTTTCCTCTACTCAGCTTGCACTTCTGCCCAATTTTTTTTGCTTTTTGCTTTTTGCTTTTTTGCTTCTATGGAAATGTTTATTCGTTAGCTTGTCCTTTGTTCTATAAATCATCATACTCAAGAAACCCTAAGTACGGCCATCCTCTTCTTTAGTGTTCACTCGGTCCTGCATCAGCCAGATCCACTCCTTCAAATTCAAATTTAACCCTCTCAGCCTTCCCTATTTTCAAAGCCAGCACCCTTAATTTGATACATAATAAATATTATCACCATAATAGCGTAATGAAATACAAACGTGTTTAATTTAGTTGAGACAAAATTTAAAGTTGTTTCTGGAAGAGGGCGTTGACAGCTTTTCTTTCTTAGGATCTCGAGGATATGAAAAAAACAAAAAAGAATGTTGTGCGTTACTTCAATGAGATCAAAATGAACGTCTGCGATACAGTCCCTCGCTGCATTCTTCATTTTTTCATCACTCAATTCGTGGATGACTTTGAACACGCCTTGGAACAAGAAGACTTGGTCGAGTTCTTGAAAGAGAAGCAGGAAATTCGAAACAGGCGTATCCAACTTCGGGCCGAGTCCGCCGCTCTAGAGGAAGCGTTGCCACGCACTGACGACGTATTGCAAATGTTGCTACGCATACAGGGTGGACCGGGTGAAAGTGAGATGCCACAGTTTTAATACTAACTCTGGTAACCATGGCAGAGGGTAGAGTACCATTTTGTTATCTTTGTGTCATGTTTTGTCCGTTTGAAAACAAAGTAGGACATAGCTTTAAGAATAAAATCATTTTTCAATCATCAAGAGGAAGGGCAGAAAATTAATTGAAATTTAAAAAAAACATATAATCAATAGATCACTGTATTTACACTTCCAATCTAAAAATCGTATCTTTAAATCGGATTATTGTTGCCAACGAACTCCAGATTTTATGATTTGGTGACAAAGCAACTGAAATATCGATTTTAGTTGACAATTAACTTTTCCAAGTGGTTACTTTTCAGCACTAAAAGCAATTAAAGTTGGACACGCAAAGTGAAGTACAAAAAGGGTAGGAGAAGGATGATAAGGTGGCTTAGATACAATATAAATAACCATTAGTAGGACAAGCTGTTGATAGGAATGCCAGTCTAGAGGGATTAATACTGCAACTAAATAAAACTGTGTAATTGCTAGGCATTTGTCGCTCTTTCGTGTTATGTCATACTAATTCCTATTATCATTCGCTACAAATTTTTCTTCCTTTTCATTGGCCGAGAGCCCACCAGGTGACCTGCAAATAACTGCCTACAAATAATGGTCTGCTCATGCGTAATGTCGTCCAACTGTGTCTGGCTGCAAACAGTATTCTGCTCATGCGCAAACTAAACCACGCTTTTCTCCTTCTTGCGATCACTCTTGCGTGAAAGAAGCTGGCATATAGCTTCGCTTCCCGAAGATACTCATTTAAAAAAAAAACTAAATATTGAACTCGGTTCTCGCGAGTGTGATTTGTCATTGTCTCCCAAATGAATTATTTGCTGAAGCCGAAGGCTGGGGCAAATAATTGATCTGCTCGCTACTGACAAATCACGATTTTTCCCTCAACCTAGTCGAATGATTGTTAATTGTTGTACGGGGAAAATGTTCATGCTCGGGTCACGGAATGTCGATTCGGAAAATCAGTCGTTAAATCGACGATCGTAAAATCGGGGTTCTATTTTATATGCGAAAACAACATTAAAAGCTCAGTTCATAAAGCGTCAAACGAAATAAAATCCTCCTCACAAACATTACCCATGTGTAACTTTTTCGTTTTGACACTATTTTCGTAAAGAAATTTGTCAAAACTTTAACTCATAGTACAATCCACTTTGGATGAATGAAAAAAAAAACAATAAATCTGTCCGTTATGAAAACTAATTTAAAGTCATAAAAAGCTGACGTTTTGGGCACAAGCCCTTTTGGAAACCCCCTCGTTCAAATTTCCTCACGTTGGCCAATTTACCTTCTGGTAGAATGTTTGACTTTTACGTTAACAATACTCCAACCAAAATATTGACTATACGTATACCTGTAACTTCCTATTTTATCCGTTTTTTGAAACTTGAAGTAGCAAGTTGTTTTATTTTAGTTTTATATTAGCTTAGGGGGGCCCATAATGAAACCAGTGAGTCGTCAGTAGTTGATGACCCTCAATAAAAAAGAGTAATTTTTAATAATATTGTTAATAGTAGTATTATTTTGTTTTTGTCATCATTATCAATATTATTATTGTTGTTATTATTATTATTACAAATGGTAGAAAAGTCCTCGCAATTGTTATGTTTCCGACAGGAAAACTAATTATTTTTACTCCCAAGTCTTGAGTGAATGTGCAAAATAATTCCTTTCTCGTTGAAAGAGGCAAACGTTATAAATGGTGAGAGAAATTGTCACGTGGACATATCTGATGTTTGTTTACTTGTTTATCTCTCTCATGACAAACTCTTGCGTTCCACTGACTTACCCCACCAACCGCTACATTTTGTTGTTGTTTACTTATTTATTTATTTTTGTTTGGTTTGGTTTTTCAGAATCTGGCCCGTTAAGAGATTAAAAAAACACCCATGAATGTGATCAAAATTCCTTCAATATTTATTGGTTCAACAAATTTGATTTTGCAAGAGATTTTCTGATAATCTTGCTTTTACTACAATTGCAGCAGGACTGCCATCAATCCAGGAGAAATTCCATCTTAAAGTCCGAAGACAAAAAATTGTCTTCATAGCTACATCGCCTTGGTATAAATATTATCTTCAGCACTCGTACGCTCGTGTAGGAATCCGGTATTAAAGGTGTGATTTTCATAAGTTGGTATTAAGTACTGCATTTAATTCACTCATGGTAAAGAGGTTTCCAGGTCACTTTTGATTCGTTCTATTCACGTTCTATCTGCAACTTCGTCTTGTCTTGAGTCTTAAGATTTCAACTTCAAGTACATAGAGGAAAAAGTGACCATTTATAACAACATTTCTATAAAAGAAGCAGTTCTTTAGTAAGGTGAGATCCGCTGAACTGGATTTTCAGCAGCTTTCAGCTTGTAAGGGGTGGAAGAGAAGTTTCTGTCTCCTATACATGATCTGGATTAACAGTTTGAACTTTCATGATTCCGTATAAAGCCAGATACACCCAATCATTTCATCCCAATACAACGCCACTTTTCCTAGAGGATGGGAGAGGGCCTATCGAAGGACACGATTTTTTCGCATGGGTCCCCTTTCAGGGCAACTTTCATTAGGCTAATTGCATTCTCCTTGATCGCTTGTTATGATATTGTGCACCAAGATCGTGACGCATTTCCGGTACTGCTGACGTCATCGTCGTCATCTGAGTCTTCGCCCTCCGGTTGGTCTTCGTCGTCTTCGCTACTTTCCGTGTCGCTTATATCAGGCAGACTGTAACGACGAAGGTGTTTGGTCGTGACGTAGACATCATCCGTTTCTGTTCTGCAAGAAAAACCGGAAGAGATGAGAGCACATTTGTCGACAAGTGATTAGTTGATTCGTGTTGTACAAGGCCTGGATACGGAGAAGCATCGACGAGCATGGTTTCAGAAATCCTAACAAAAACTAATCTATGGAGGATTTTGAACGGTCTTTTACGTATTTCAACTTCCTCCTGAAGCACCTGTACATAGATAACATTAACCTATCCGTTCCTCAACTCAATAGCAAAGACAGTATCATAATCAATTGAAAACATTAAGGGGGTGATTACATTGCGAATTTCAGCCCGGTGGGGCGAGCTGAAAAATTGCTGCGATTACATGACAAATTTCAACCCGGGCTGAACTAGAAACAACCACACTGCGTACGCGCACGTTGCTTTTTCAGCCCGGGCTGACATTCTACTTCGATTACATGGACTTTCTGTGGATTTTTCAGCCCGTTTGCCCGGGCTGAAACCTTCTCCATGTAATCGCCACGTTCATTTCAAGCCATGTAATCACCCTCTAACTATCGCTATATGATAATACCACTTTTTTGAACCATGTCCGCCACAGGCAGCCCCAGGAAAGTGAGGGCAAATTTGCTCGTCTTCACTTACCTAGCGAAAAAAAAACTTAACAGGTTAAACTCACCTTGAACGCTTCTTCACTTTTGAACTTGGTAGCTGATCCCAGAGTTTCAGCTCCAGCCCTCCTGTACACATTCTCTGCACCGTCACCTGGTCACGTGTTGTCTGCGTGCATGACAGACACGTGATACTTCCCGTGCATTCGTCATCTACGGTTGCTAGGTATTCCTCAGAAGGAATGCTGCGGACTAAACCAACACAAACAAGTAAGTCAAGTAAGGAAGTATTTCTCTTAACTTAACCAACGTTCGGTACGTAAACGGAAATCAACATTGTCCTTCTGAACTTGGCTTTCAGATAACGTCCTGTGATTAATGCCCAATGTGTAACAATTCAAATGAGGTTACTTTTTTCAAATGGAGCTCTTACCGTTTAAGTATCCATTACCGCGATCAAGATCGTAGCCCGCGCTCACGAGACATGAACCAGAGGTTGCCATTGCACCAGTAGATCCGAAGTCTGTCACGTGATTTCGAATCTTACGGATTTTTCCTAAACAGCAAAAGGAAAGAAGGCGGTCAATTAGTCTACAAGGAATTTAACCAAAGCTGGGCCGTGCTACAGTAGCGCCTTGTGCCACCCAAGGGATAAAGCTTTCGCTAGGCGACTAAGAATCATCCCTGGTCGGTTGTTGGTTCTCGTCTGTTTATTCGGTATTTACTTATTTATTTATTCCTTCATTCTTTATATATTTATCTTTTTACCTATCTGTCTATTGGCCCCTGGAGTTAACCTCTATACAGGACAACCTCAATTCATAGGTTTACGCTTTTCAGGCTGCCCTCAATTTTTCTTGGAGCACAACCTTGTGCCAAAGAGATAAATCTGTTTTCAAACCACATCACATAAGGTTAACTATAGCCCACCTGACGTCAATTCCATAGCTTTTATATTCACTCCATCGTCTCCCCAGTAAACTGTTTCCTGTGTTGTTGCCAGGCAACGAACGCGTCTCGGTTTAACCGTCACATTTCCAGCCGTGTTGTCAGAAGGGGCCTGGTCGGAACTTATCACCGGCTTGAGAGAATTGTCCCGGATATCCCAGACCTTTACCACCCCGGTGGCTGAACCGCTGATCACTCGGTTGTCCTGGAACTAAGCGATAAGTACAAGAAATAAGAAACTCTGAAACGGCCAGTGGACAAGACCTTAAACAGAGTTACCATGGTTACCTTGACAGCCGTGACGGCATCTTCATCATGTCCCCGAACGGATCGCACAGCTGTTCCGCTTTCCATATCCCAGAGTTCCACCTTTCCGCCATCTGAAGAAAATAGTAATTAGAGTTAACCGCGAGTTCCTTTTTGTACCACACCGCCGGGGTAGAATTTAAATTGATTGCGTCATGACTGCACATAATTTGCAAGGTGAGCGGATATTTGTATAGTTTGCGTGATTTTGCGTGAGACAAGCCAACATGTTAAGCACAGAACGATGGGACTTAACAATGCACAATGAACTGTTTGTTCTCGTTTAACAACTCGTCCTGAATTTGCAAACAATCTACTTTCACGCAAAAAATACAGTTCAGCTACGACTGTATTTTATTCTGTCATGGCACAAAACAGAGCCACCCTTGCCCG